ATAAGCAAGATAACTCCAAGACAGAGACTGAAAATATGCTCAAAGATGAAGAAGTTTAAATCAAGGTCTGGGGACCAGGAAGACTCAGCCCTAATTCCTCTTCTACCACTGCAAGGCAAATGGTCATATGGCAAGTCATTACAGTGCCAACATCAATACCACCATGGCTCATGGAAAGCAAAGGTGGTTCATCCTCCTAGAAAAAACAATACCAGTTCCATTACCTGCTATGGAGAAGCTCTTACTAAGAGCAGTAATTAGGGCATTATTCTTTTATCTGATCTTTATGCCAATCTATTTCTTCCACCATGTAACAGTATGTCCAGTACTAGCAATGAGAATTTCACACATGTAAAGAGCCAAATATTATAGCATAGACCTCACTTCCCAAATTGTAGCTTTCTTCTGGTTTTTTTTCCACCTTCTAAGAGAATCCAATCACTCTAGTGCAAGGATGAAACAGAACAGATCATATGCTCCAGTGAATGAAATAAAGTATAAAAAAAATTAGAAAAAATAGACCCATATATGACTAAGTACAGAGAGTCAAGAGAAACACAGCAGCTACAGAAGAAAATTAAAAATAGTAAAAAGACATACCCAGTGACTGAAAATGTGAGTTATGAAACAGACTCAGAACATATGAATGAATGCTTGGCTTTCACACTGGAAAAAGAGAAATCTTTTCATTTCAAGAGACAGAATTTTAAGCCAACTGTTAAAAAAAAAAAGCCAAACAGTGTTTATAACAATAACTGCCCTTCTCTTATGAACAACTGCATATTTCCCTCAGTTTGCTGATCCCTTTCTCTAGTGCCAATGCCAACATAAACAACTCCCACCTTCTTCCCACTACCACCAGTCTGGTCCCGCTCCCTTCTTTGTAGGGACAAATATTTTGGAGCTCCCAGGGGAAACAGTTTTCAAACTGGTTTCAAACCCCAATCCCCATTTAAACCCTGTTTTTTTCAGCTGCACAAGCAGCAGCTGAAAGGCTTAGAAATTACAATAACTTGCCTGAAAAACAGGGCTGGTGTCCAGAGGTTGCTTAGGACATCTTAAACACACTTGCCTTAATTCATAATTCAACAAATGCTAGTTTTAGGATCAGCTGGCTCTGGCTCTGAGAGAGGTAGTTGTCATCTCATGGGCCCACTCTCTCTTCCACCCCATGTCTCCATTTCCTTTTGGCAGACACAGATGTGTTTTGCAGCTTTACAATAAACAACACTGAGGAACTTACGCAAAGGAAAAATCGATTTTGCCTTTGTTTTGCTCAAGCTGGTTCCCAAGGGAAGCATCTTCCACCCATTTCACCCCACATGTAGACACTTGAGAGTGTGAGCTGCTGCCTGGGGACGGGAACACAAGATTCACTTTGTCCAAGACTGGCTCAGCTCACGTGTGTGTTCATGGAGTTACAGTGCAGCAGACCCTAAAGCTGTCCTATTTAGCTCACTTGTTTGCTGTAACTGTATACACAATAAGGAAATTATTGAAGTAGCAACTCACAAACAAATAAACTGCCCCTCATATCCTCTAGTTACTTCTATTTTGGGTGATTTCTTAACGCAATTGCCAAGTCTGACAATAGATACCTGTGGAACCTTATTGCTCAGAGTCACTTGTAATTAACATGATTCCTGTCAACAGAGACAATCAGAAAATCCAGCTCAAGACAGTTTTTAAAACATCTATGAGTGGACACAGTTTTCATGAAGCTAGAGATTATCCACCACTGATGCCTATTACTTCATGCTCTAATATTTCTCTATAAGAATTGTTAAATGCAAAAGAGAGGAAAAAGTTTCCTAATATGCTAATAGAGACGACAATTTGAGACCTCTTCAATCAATACAGCATGTCACAATACATAAGAATTAGAAAGGGCAAAGAGAATGCATCGCTGGAAAAGAACATAATTCTTCAAGACTGACAGAGAAGTCAATCCAAAAGCAAAGAGAAGAAAGACAGTAAAGGCATTCACTCATCTAGCCTATGTAATGGCAATTTGAAAAATATGAGGGAGACAAGTTCCCGTGATCTTATGAAAGAAACAATTCACAATGTGTTAGGTAAATGGGACAAACAGCACAGCCAGTGCAAGGCAGAAACTAGTCAAAACATGTAGTACTGGCAAAGATCCTGCTGTCTGACCTAAGTCTGGTCATGAACCTGAAGTTTCACACTCAGCCACTGTGACAAGCCATGGATTCTGTCCTCCAAAGGTGACATCAACTCCTCCCTCCATGCCTTCCTGTCACCTGTAGCACTCATCCAGCCAGGAGCTAACTCAGAACCACTGGATGACCTACATGAAAACTCATCAATACATTTCAGGCAGGACCATTATTTTGAGCTGCAGCATGGTCTTAAGCTTGCTGGGAAACCATACCTGAATCTATGGCAGATGTCTGAACACCAAAAATAGCCTACAATATATGTACAGAATTCCAACTTTTCCACTGCATGGAAATTATTCTGGATTTTAAGAAAGGCTGGCTGCTTCTTTCTATAAATATATCTAATATCTAAGGCTCCCCCTATCCTAAACTCTACAGATCTAAAATGCTGGATATCTACCAAATGACGAATCAGTCAGAAGCCCTACTGGGCTAAACACATGGGCAACATGATGATTGCAGATTCCAGAGTGCAGACAGACACTTTGGAAATGGAAGCTGGGTTCAAAAACAAAAATTGCTGAAGCTCTCTCAGAACATTCAAAAAAACCACAAAAAAAAAACCTGAACAGAAAAAAGGCACCAAAAACCAAATTTAAAAAATCCAATCCTGCTAACTTTGAACATACTATTGTAGCTATTTGGCTGCTAACACTGGGACCCCTCAGGGTTCATAAGGAGGAATAGCAGTAAACAGAGAGCCAGGGTGTAAGTCCTATAGGGTTCTGTAATTTACCTATTGTCTCAGAGTTTTTAACCAGAATAAAAACTGTTAGATCACTGAATGAGGGCCAGCAGGTTAAAGTAGAGACATGCCCCTACCTCCTGGAACCTGAGGAAAAGAAAGTATCAGAGGGTAGCTCCCAACAGGAAGATTTTCCTCATCCTCCTCTTGGCAAGGGTTATCAATCCCCCTCTGCTGCCTCATTATTTTAGGAATAAAAATGATTATTACTGATGAGCTGTGCAAAATTTCAGCACTTTTGCAATCTCTCCAACAGAAAGCCATCAAATGCATTCTAGCACAAGCTGGACAAGCTGGGAACTTGCACACACCTTATGAGTACAGCTACAGTACTTTCCTACATCAATGCACCCTCCAATTGTTCTACTAGCTCAGGGACCAGCACATGACAAATAACTTCATAGCACTCCTAGAAATAATATAAATCTATGGTGACCTAGCTAGACTGTGTTCAAAAGACAGGAAGAATGATACAAGCAAAGGCTCATCCCTCTCCCTCTTTGAAGTGGCTTTCAATATATTTGAAGACTATCACATTTCCCTTCAGTCTTTTCTTCTTCAAGCTAAATAAAACTTCTCTCATCGTCTTTCATCACAGGTTGTGCTTTTAAGACTTCTGATAGTTTTTATTGCATTCAAGTTAACTGTAGTTCTAAAAATTAGTCTTACTCCAAGGAAATGTTTCATGATCTATCACTGTGCTGCACCAATGCAGCAACAGCCTTAAGCAACCTCTAATTTGACTGTCAAACAAGCTTTGCAGAAATCAAAACTATTTTGTGAAACAGATCTTGCTGGGTTTTGTAAGAGCAACCCCATGATCCTGCACTGCTGTAGTATCAAACCAAGGCCTTCTGGCAAAGGATTTTCAGTGGAAGAGAAAGAGACATAAGGATCTAATGCTCTAAAAGTACAGCAAATGAAAATGTTCAAAATGCCATGAAAAGTAAAGTCACAAAGAGCTGTGAATCTATCAGCATGACACTGCAGAGGTGTTTAAAAAGAAAATAAATAAAAGGAAATACAGAGGCAGAGTATTTGTGCTGAGGTAGGAACTGAAACAGCTTGTCATCATAAAGAGACTTAGTTTACAATGGACAGTTTTCCACAATGACGTTTACTGCTGTCACTAAGCTAAAAGAGAGATCAAGATTTTCACTCAAGGAGAGAAAGAGTAGATACATCTCCTGTTACTGAGGAAAAATGTCTTGACCCTGACATTTCATGGCTTAATCTGTACTATGGGTTATATTGAGTTCAATTAGCAGGTTTTGTATTGAAGTTAGTTATTTCTCACATAGTATGTCTGATGTCAGATAGCTATCTACTACTTTTATAAACTGAAATTTAAAAAAAAAGGCCACAAAGCAGGAAAAATAAAATCCTGGCAGCTGTTATGAACTACATCTTTATTCAAAATCTTCCAAGATGCCTCTGAAGCAGGGAATTTATAGTTACCTAGTCTTTTCTTGTTACATTCTGTAATCCAGACACACTCATTAAAGCTCTAACTTCCTTCCAGTTTCTTAGGAAACAACCAGTATTCTCTTCTTAGAAACCTTGAAGTTCAAAGTATCTAATTGCAGGAGAGATCTGGATTTTAAAGCACCACCAACACTGAAGGCAGTCTAGGTTATGGAGAACAATTTTATTTACCCAGTCATTTGACTGGTTCCTAATTTTTTTCCTAACACAAAAAACATATCTATCTTTCCTTGAAGAAATCCTTATATTTTGTTCACTCTAGCAAAACCTGCTTCTGTCAACACTTCTATTTTCAATAGACAGCCTGCTGATCTGAAAAACAAGCCCATAGGAAATATTTCTTCCTTAAGATGGTTAGAAGATAAAATTGCCTGTGGCTGTAGGAGATACCTTGGAGGATGACACAGTCATTACTTTAATTAGGCTTTTTGATACAGTCTCACATATGTTCATAACCAAACACATGACTATTGTCAAGGTACAGATATTGTATACTGACCACAAAAACAAGTTGGAAAACTATTCAAAGAGTAATTTTCACTAGGTTTCTCTAAGTAATTTCATACACTAAGAGTACTTACATAGAATTCTTGTTAGACAGGTGCATGGATCTTATTCTGTTTCCATTTCTCTCTTGGCTGCTAATGTAGCAAAAACACCTTTCAAATGAAAACAAGCTGAGCAGTGTTCCAAGCACCATGCTGGCAATAAACAGATTTCAAAATGGCCTTGAAAAAAACACAAGATGCAATTCAGAAATGGTAAGTTCAAAGTACTACACTCAGGGAGAGCTAATTGCACAAATACATAGTGGACAAAAATTCCGAAAAACAAAAGCTGGGAGTATAGGAAACCACAAATTGAACTTGAAGTAATCCATTGCTATGATATAGAGAAAGGCAGAACTGCTTCAAATTCATTCTCAACAGTACGGATAATCTTATGCAGCCACTGTTTTTCTTAAAACTGCAAGTTGACTCATGCTTTTACATAGACCCATAGCAGATCTGGTAATTTTAAAAGGAAATCCACTGATTCCCAAAAAAAATTAAATCACAAACATTAGGTGTCATTTCACAGTTAGTATGAGCAAAACTACATCTGCCAGCTTTGCATGAAACACTTTTCCTTTTCAGTTTGTCTGAGAAGCCAGTGCATTACATTGAGAAATTCAGAGCATGGGATCCTCACAGTGTAAATGCCAAACCCTTCCAAGAATACAAGACCCACATTTGTGCAATAACAGTAGGAACAGATGTAGTGGATGCAACTGCAAAGGTTTCGCTTGTCATATCTTAAGTCTACATTTTCCACAGAGATCAGGCTGACAGAGGAAAAGAAATTTGCACATAAAATTTGTGCAGTTGGATACATTTGTTTCAGAAATGTTCACTTAAATAAAAGGAAAAATGTTATTTAAATTAACTCAAATACTCCTACCTTATCTGATGAGCAATGAATGGAATAAAATTTGAGACAATCTTCCATCTTCTTATTCCATTTATTGTAAGCAACAAAAATGCATCTTCTGTTCTTTTCCCTTTCTGTAATTTCAAACTATAATCACATCTTTAAACTCTTATTCACAGACCAGAATGATTAAATGCAATTCTGATGTTGGACGATTCCCTTTATCTACCTCATTCTTCAGTTCTAATAATGATTATGGAACTGAGAGAAAGCAAGCCTACAGATTTAAATATCTTTCACTGTCAAAAGGCTATTAGGCCTTCAGCTCTGCCTAATGTGAAAAGAAAAAAAAAAAGAAAAAAAAACAGGACAAGAGAAACCAATGGAGAACATGGCCATTTAGCATGATGTCATTTGCCATAAAATTCAGAAACTGCATCCAACCAGATTCATCAATATCATCCCACAGCTCCTCTGCAGCTTCACCACCTGTAGCTGGATTCTACTGCTAAAAGCAAACACAGGAAGCTTGAATTTCTTGGATATCACTTCATCTTTCATTTAAGGGGACTGTGAAAAAGTCTCCAGGGCTCCTAATAGGAGCATGTGAAATGTAATTCTTAAAAATATAAACCAGGATTCCATTACAGCATATGTCACAGTTGAGACTGTCATGATATGCAGAGTATCATCATACAACTTCAGAAGGGTTCAACCCATAGAGAGTAACACCATAAAACACCAGAAGGCTTCAAAGCATCTGCTCTTTCTTGTTCTTCAACTCAACATTTTATACCACTTATGTTCATGCATTTCATCTGTGTGCCTTCTGTTCCCTTTGGTGATTGGTCAGTACACCTGGGCAGTCCAAATCTCATTACCTTCAATGCTGCTCACCTGTTTTTCACAGCTGCAGCCCATTGGGGATGAGGCTCAGCTGCAGCCCCACTCCACACAAACTGTGTGCCTACAGGATTCTTTTCCCTTTAGTCAACTTTGAGCTGAATGTTCTGAGTCAAGGATAGTAAGATATGTCTTTGGTCCATCAGATGCAGAGTGTATAAAACAAGCAGTTCAGGGCAGAGCAGTACCATGGGTTTCCTGTCTGGCAACAGCACTGGTGGCACATGGTGTGAATATTTCTCTATCTTAGATCCCTCTCTGCTCTGCCAGCCAGGATGTTTGAGCAACCAAGCGATGAACTTGATCAGGGAGCTGATCTCTCTGTAAAGCAACTCACCAAAATAAATGGTTATTTTCAGGTGGATCCATTCTGAGTCTTGTTAAGAGTGCAAGTGCCCGAACAGATCTGACAGCACAATGGAAGAAGCCTTGAATGGACATGAATGGGAAGCCAGGAGCACTGGATTAAGTTACAGAGATACTCAAGAAATACAGAGAATGACACTTGAAATACCACAAGGATAAGAAAGCCTGACATAACCACACAAGTACAGGTACTCCAACACTGACCCCAATCATAGAACATCTCAGATCCAACCAAGGATCTCAGATCCAATCCAACCAAAGCCAACGCAGGAAGTCCCTGTTTCTTCAGCAGTTGTTCGTCTGTTTGTCAAGTGTGCTGATCAAACCCTTTCTATGTTGAACTGAACATTGGTTCAACAAAAGCAGCTGGAGTGAAAACAGTGCCTGAAAGAAAAGGAAGACAAAAAGGTATGCAACACCTCAAAGAAAACTCAATGTAAGACTGATTCTTATAAACCTTATATTAAAACAACTAAGCTAGTTGTTATTCTTCTTTTTCAACTGTGTAGTGCAATCTGTGCACTGGGACATATTTTAAACTAAAAGTTCCCAGATATGATGTGGCTCAAGTTCTTTTTATTATTTTGCATCCACACAACAGAAACTAAGGAGCATAGCCAAGAAAAATAAGGTGGCTCCAATGCAGCATTTCATCATGCCCAGGGAAAGAAAAACAAGTGCCAGTACATACATCTCCAACACCCAGACATCAAAACAAGTATTTTTCTTTTTCAATTTTGTTTATTTGGACAGGCTTAGGAGGCTGCCCATTTCATAAAACAGGAAAGCAACTTTAGAGCAGTTATCCCCAGTTACCCCAGAATACTGTATATTGGTTTAGAGCAGATGACATGCACCATTCCATTAACAACTCACCACCCTTCAGGACCAGCCCATGTGAGAACAATTGTTCTGACTAACACCAGAAAGAGATCATATGAGCAAGGGGGAAAGAAAGCAAAAGTACATGAACGCCACACCCAGGTTTGTAGAAAAGCACAAAGGGAAGTTATGTTCACAACTTTTTTCTGAAAGTCAACGAGATTTCAACATCTGAATTTTCCATTGTGTAAAATCACTCTTTTGTAGAATCTAAATTACAACATGAGTCAACACCCAAGCTGACTTTCTGAAGGACACTATGGTGGTCTCATAGCTCAGACACCACACTACCATTGTGCACCTGGAGAAGTGAAAACTGATTAAGTGCTCATGAGACAGTGCTGAGAATTGTACATGAGAATTATGTAGTTACAATAATGAGAAAACTGAAGAAGATATTTTCAGAAGAAATTAATCCACAAGAAACTTGTACTAAATACATGATGGTATCAACCACTTGAATGCTGTCCTACAATACTAGAAAATTTTATTGTACAAACCTTTTTTGTGAGAAATATCTAACTCTTTTTTCTTACATCTAATTGCTGTGAATTAAAGAGAGCTTCTTTAATACCTACCAGATGATATTCTCAATGCATTAAGGAAGCTGTTCTTATATGCTGTTTCTTACTATTCACACAGGGTGTATACGTAGCACAAAATGCCTCATAAAGAAATGAACATAAAATCCAAAAAACTGTGTATAACACCATATTGACTGTGATGTCTAACCAGTATTTTAGAGTGTTTAAATATGTGCCTAAACACTGTCCTGAAGCTTTGTACCAAAATCAAGTACAGGACACTTACATAAACTTACTAACTCCCAGATAATGTAATCTGAGATTGATAGATATTATCAAGATTGACATTACCATTGCAGGACTTCATTGCAAGCAGTAGCACAGACACTATACGAAAGTTCCATTCTAGAAATGAAAATTTAAATTAAACTTTTTGAAATTAAGGACTAATAGTGCACAAGAAGCTTCATCACGATTATATTTGTTAACATTTCAGCCGACTGAAATACATTTTCTATCTAGGGATATGGCCTGTACATGCATTTCCAGTCAGTTTGATTTACATGATAAATTATTTTAAATATTATACTCTAAGTTTTATTTCTTGTATATTCCAATATAATTGTTTTGGACAGTGTCTCTTTTCAGCTAAGAATATGAATTTCTTCTAATACACTTAGCTGCAGAAGACCTTTTTATTCAAGAGGCTCACTATATATTGAAAAAAGCTGTATTCTGCAAGTGACTAAAAATCATCCTGTAAAATCCTGTACAAAATTACATAATTTCTATAAGATTTGCAACCACACGAATCTTACATCAATCTTTGTAGGTTGTGTGAGTAGTCCAAATAACTCAGTTTTGGTAAATATAAATATGACAGGTTGAGACAATGAGAGAAAACACATACGCTTTAGATTTAAACAGCCAAAACCACATCACTAGAGTTACCAGCACTGGAAAACAGCTGTACGAGCCAAAAGGCAAGCAGAAAACCTGAAATGAGAAATTCATGTTTAATTTTAGTTCTGGTACACAATTACTGCTTAACCTTTAGCACTGAGCCTCTCTGTGCCTCAGCTTTCCTACACAGAAAAGCAGGGATTTGCACAATTTTTCATGGTGTATCAAATTTGATCTGCTCCCAAGCTTCTGCTAATAATAGTTCTGTGTGAAATGGAAAGTAGCCAGTTTTAAGAGCTGAGTGCAAGTAAAGAGCATCTGTCAGCTACATAAAAAGAAATTCAAAACATTTTAGGCAAGGAAAGCATGACCTAGTACTCTGCTCAAAAGAAATTATCTTCCTGTCTGTATGTGAAGCTGCAACATCCCTTCTGATCCATACTCAGATTTTAGAGGAAGATTTCATTCTTACTGGCTGAAAATGTGAAAAGGAAACACGAAAACAGAGGCTACATCTACTGACTTAAGTTTGTTTTTTTCAACCCCTTCCATGTTAGCATGAACTTCCAGGGTTCTTCAAGGAAATCATCAATATGCCCTATCCCTCTCACCCTGTCTGGCTAACTCAGCTTTGCAAGTCTTGCCCATCCTTGAACAGACAACTTACACTGCAGGTGGGGAGAAAAGAGAGGATACTTAGGGAGGTGACAGCAGGAGAGATGCACAGCATCACTGCTGGAGAAGCCAAAGGGGATGGGGAACTCCCAGAGCCACTGGCTGTAGGAGAGGGACTGCAGAACACTGACAGCAGTGGGGGGGAAAGGTGGCTTATGGCACGAAGACTGGCAAATGGGATGGGGTGCATGGAAACTAAGAAACACACAGAAGCCCTGACTTGGAAATGCATATCCAAGGACTTTTCCCCCTACAACTCCAACACAGCATATACAGCCCACAAGCAGATAATGCTCCAGCTGGCAGCCTGCACTGATTCATGGAGCAGGAGAAACCTGGCAGAGCTGGGTGAAATGGAGATACCAGATGCAACAGCAAAGGGGTGTGAGGAGGGAAGGTTCTGAAGGAGTCCCTGTCAGCAAGTGAGCTTGTTTGGCTCTATACAGCCTGTCCTGTCCTACCCAGCTTGCTCAGGGCCTGTATTCTGGTTTCTTATGTATTAACATTACTCTCCATCCAGCAAAACCTCTCTAGTGTTGATTTGCCCTCCTCAACCTCCTCCACTCCTTCAGCTTCTGCTCCATTAAAATCTGCTTAATGAAGAAGATCTGATGTTCTGTATCCAACTGGCACCTCCCTGCCAGGGACACAGCACTGCCAGAGCCAACCCCATGACCACCTGAGAGGTGTCTCCAAGCACCCACCATCACTGGTGCACAACTGCTGTGCTACGTTCACCTTATGCATATCAGTGGTACAAATGTACTGCAGTTTTGGGCATGCAAATTTGTTTTGCTCAGACTTTAAGATGCTCCAGTCTCGTTACTCTTTGTATGTTTTTGACATGGTTTGCAGCAGGTCTGCTCTTGATTTTCTTACTGATAGTCACAGCTGAAAGGTCTTATTTGTAGTGATAAAGCTGAGGGCTTTTTCTGTTAATTTTTAAACTTCCCTCTATTCCCCCTTGCACTCCCCTCATATCAATAAACATCTGCCTTCCTTCCTGAAGGCCACCCATGCTAGTGTATTCCAGCAAGATCCTGTTCCAGGTCACAGCACACAGCCCAAGCTATGCACTGGCTTCACCTCTACCCAAAGGGATTTAAAGAATTAAACCTCCAGACAATCTGGAAAATCTAAGTTGAACATTTACTGCTATTAACCCCACAAAAGATTACACTGAGTTGATACGCATAAGCACTTACAGCATTTGGAAGCACAGACTTCATCAAATGCGTATGCCACCCAAGCAAGATATTTCCTACAATTCAAAGTCAGCACCCAGCACTTCAACTGCTGTCCTTCCCCCTTGTTATCACTCTCCCTTCACACATATATTACTTGGCTTTGTCTTTCTCCCAAGAAAAATGGGAGATTCTCCCATCAAAATGGGTTTGATTCTCACCACTATCAGTGAGCCTTAGCTCACTGCATTAAGAGTGCCCAGACAGTGCAAGGACAACCCTGCAGGAACTTTCTGAAACTGTTTTGAAAACCAATCAAATAATAATTAAAAAAAGGGCTAGAAACAGGAATCAAGCCAAATCCAATAATTACTGCAGAAGACCCAGTTCAGTAACATCAGTGAGCAACATGCTGAGGAAGACTGCCACATCATAAAAATATCATCACCTTTTTTCAGTAAAAATCTAGTGCAGATGAAGGAAGATCTTGGCTGTTAAGCACTCTTCCTCATCATGCACAAAAACCTATTAATACAGAGAAGATATGAGATTACCAGAAGCTGAAAAGAAGTCACAATATTAATACCTCGTTCCCTGCTGACGGTCAGTCAGGACAACAATGACCCAGAAAAAGATCTGGATATCAGGACTCACTTTGACAGCCACTGCCTTGCAAGAGCACTCACAATTTTTCTGTCCTTCATCTCTTTCTCCTTCATAGTGGGTGGATCCTTCCACCATCAGCTTAACTGACACTTGCTGCTCCATTCTTCTTGAGATTATTTTGATGCAGTAGTCACTGCTGTTTCAGTTCATCTCCCCCCTCAACCTCTCCATGAGCCCACAGCCTCAGCAGCAGAGTCCTACACTTGATTTGCATTCAAGAACTATGCAAAGACAGGGGATGAAGGGCCCCATTGGTATACAGAATGGAAAAAAGTTTTGGCCCCCCAAAAGCAACTGAACTGCCTATTCTGAACATGACTTGGGGCATTGTGGATAACAGCACAGCTCCTCCACTGCTCTCCCGGACAACTCCAATAAAGGAAGTCATGCAGACTTCTGTATGTGTAACAGTCAGGCCAAAAGAGGTAAGTGAGGTGCAGACAGTGGCCAAACCTTCCTTGCCTGTTTACCTGTTTCCTGACACCTTTTTCTCCCTGACATTACCTAAGCATAGAGGCTGTTTCCACTGTCAGCAATTCCACTGCAATTA